GAAAAACTCATTATGATCAGTGACCATCAAATTGGATCACGTCTTTCAATGAATTTTATCGTTTATTTTGTTATTTACTTTCTGGTATACAATAAAAGAATATTCAAGGATAGAGGATGTGATACACGCCATACATCAAAGACGGAGAAATTCAGGCGGGGATGGCTTTTTGGAGGTCACGTCCTCCGAAATGATAAGTTTACAACCCTATCCGCTTGATCACATCCATAACAGTAGAAAATGCGATTAATTGCCCAGATGATATGCTTCATTAAAACAGCAAACGAATAATATCACAACCAGGAACTCTTCGCTTTTAACAGATAAGTGAGAAGTTTGCAAACATCTGGTCCTTACTTCGGGTGAGATTGGATCGATTACGTGCGATACGTGAATTTTCTTTTTTATTCTTATGCTGCTAAATTTAGCTTTTTTTGATCGCTCTGTTCAGATTGCAGGTTTCATGGTGTTCAGTAATAAGTCTGCAACACTAACATTGCGAGCCTCATGTATCAGATATGCAATAAAGTGGATATGTCCACTTCCCTGCTGTGGGCCGACGCCGAAGTAGCATGTTAATTGTTCAACCAATTCACTTTGCCTATCACGTGACATTGAGGGCAGCTTGTATTCGTAACCTCAAGGTAGCTTTAGAACCACGAACATCTGTGACATGCGGTTTCATGATGAATTGCCAGTTGGCTGTCTTAATTCAAATTTTGTTAGTGAAGCCAATTAACGATACTGACGCAGATGATCAACCAGAATGAGGATGATGATTACTGTGACTGTATCTGGGGCACCACTGCTAGTTAGGAAAACGTCATGTGAACAGAATCCAATAGGTGTGTTATGATCTCGGTACGGGAGTCACCAGATTAGGCTAGTTTGGGTGTATGGGTGCAAGGAGAAATCAAGCGATGAAAAACCGTCAGTTTTGGAAGATGGTATTTTGTATGGGAGTCTATGAGACTGCTTGGATGAATAATTGAAATTCTGCGTCTTACCAAACCGGGAACGTGGCTTTCCTGTAAATTGGAGAAAGCGATAGTGGTTTCTGATAGCTTGTTTGCACGAAGAGAAGTTGGTGAAATTCTAACACAGATGGGCAGGTACAATGATTATGGGCTGAGTGATCTGCAAGCAAATGACAATTAACTATAAACTGATAACATGAAACAATGAAAATTATTGTGAATAAACTTACCAAAATGTCAACTAAAAATAACGGAATGCTCTTATTGATTGAAATGGCTAAGTGAAGATTTCAAATGTTCACATATTTATGAATTGGCTCACTTTCTCGACTGATTTTATTATTGAAATATCTGAATGGAACATCCCCTTGGTGAGAACAAAACCTTCAGTTGATAAGCATATATGTTAGAGGATGTTTTTATTTAGCGACATGTTCAAGGTAACCCAAAGGTATTCTTAAAGTGATAGGTTTTGCTTCACTCAAGTCCTTCTTTTTTGAAGTAATTATAGTAGAGACTAGCTTCTTATGGGTATATGGACAATTATCATCCCCGGTGATGTGGAGAGGGCAGTGTTTTGGAAGTCCGAAATGCCATCAAGGTCCCCATTTGATAAGGGTAAAAAGAAGTCAGACGAAAGCCTCGTGCCACGTGCCATACTCATCGTTTTCCAATGTTACCTCATGTTCTCCTCGAGGAGTAACTGGGGAATCGGCAAGAAAATTATCAGTTACCCTTTTAGACCGGTTATTTTTAGTTTCAGGATTTCTCCCTGTTATCTTTGCAGGTTTTTAAACTAATAATTGCGCAAACTGGTGATTTCACAGTGGTCCTACCCAAATCGCATTCGTTTATGTGAAGGTGGGCGTTGCGCACTTTTCTCCTGAGGTTACCCCTGACCTTATGCCTATCGGGCATTTTATTTGTTCACACAATAGCCACTTTCCCACTGAGTTCCATGTGGCATTTCGCACCCTAAAAACGCTTTCCTCCTCATATCGAATTTATCTAGGTAGAAAGCAGAACAATGTATATCCCCATGTGAATCTGCCGTTCTCTATCATTGGTTCAAAAATGAAGAATATACGTAATGCGGTTGAGGAGTCACAGAAGAAACCATGAGTAACCTTATGTGCATTTTAGGACTTCATCTGGTCAACAGCATCAATGTTTATCCAGAATTTCCGTGTTTTCTGTATTGCTGACCGCGCTCGGGTTTTAAAGTCTAGCGGTGATGATGATTGCAAAACCCCTGTCTACAGGTAATGGAATAGATAACAGAGTAGTTTAGTTCGTTTGTTATACTCTGTTGATAAGAGATAATACAACCTAACAGAATGTAATAGGCAAAAATCTCTCTTCCTGGAACTGTATTCATGATTCCAAGTGCAAGGAGATATAAGGAGACTGCTTAGTATCGTGCATGGTATCCAGTTTACTGTTATTTACATTCACGAATTATACTCATTGGTGTCATTTGACGTTCATTCACACAGGAAACCTTATGCATTTGAAATAAGCTTCATTTCGGTAAAGAATAAATGCTAAGGGGCAGAGAGATGTATAATAGAAGTCTGTATGTTCGTTCGAAACTCAAACATAGTTAGAGATGCCCAGGAGAACAGTCAAGAGAGAGACGAGAGAGAACTGCAAACAAAGGGAATAAGTGTATCACAGTATCAAGGTGGCTGGTTTATGTTATGGTATGGACAGTTATTCGACCTGATGAGAATAGAGAGTTGGTTGAACAACTCAAGTTACGACTAGAACTGGGGCTAACCTTACCCTTCAAGAAAAATGAGAACCCAGCGCTCCCTCTGATTGGCTGCACTGCGTTTGTGTTCACTCTCGCATTGAGATTTGTTTCCCGGACTCCACTACGTTTACGTGACGTTCGTATCACAGGGATATTTTTCCTACGGTAGAAGGATATTCATTACAGTTCTGTGTCAACCACTTCAAATAGTTCTACCCGAACCGGATTTTCTGGTTGAAGCAAGAGAAGAAAATGTGTCGGGTGGCACACATTCAACCTGTGAAGATGACGGTTCCTTCTTTGCTCGGTTCAAACATTCGCTCATTGGTTAGCAAATTGATTGAACTCAGTGATCTACTAACTTATCGCGTGCACACAAAAACGTATGTGATATGCATGCAAGAATTGTGGTTGAATCACGACATAGTGGATTTGCTGGTCAACAAACCTGGCTTTGCAAGTTTTTGACAAGACAGAGAAAAGCAGTTAGTGTGGCAAGTTCAAAACGTTGTTCGCCTTCTCCTGTTATGGTACTGATTGCCTCATTGTTTCATGTCAACTTAGATTTTCCTCTTTTCTGAGCGCAACTATTTACAATTTCCATATTGTCTCTTTTTGCTAAAAAGTCGAAATCCGCTACTCTTACGATGCACTTATTCCTTTCATTCGTCTCCCAGTTAGCGGTGATTTTATTTTAATTGTTGGCGATTTTACAAATGGATCAACCCACCATTCCTTTCTTTCGGCCGATCACGTCGTCTCGAATCAAATTAGTAGAGTGCGCTATTCGCACCCGCTTGCAGTCTGGTATTACTGTTCCCAGCCAGCCAGTATCTTTCAAAATGCTGCCGATGTGGTCTCGCGTTAAGCCATTCCAAACCAATCTGTAATAGAATTATTTTATGACAGTTAAGTGCAAGTGCAATTTTCCTCGAACAACTCCGGTCTCCAGCTGAATACTTCGAAAGGCTTCGAATGCATTTTTGTACTTCTCGGTCCGAATAACCATAAAAATCCTCAGTGATCAATTACGTGGTGGTGGTGGCAACGGTTTTAGAACACACTATCACCGGGGTAATATGTTGGTGACCCTCGTCACTTAACCGGCACCACCGCCAAAAGCAAGCTCTAAAACTGCAGAAGTGGCGGAAATGAGAAGAGTGCCTAAAATCTGTTACACATTAGGCCCTGTTTCTAGAATGCTATGTAAAGCTAGTACAATCAAAGGTAGTTCAATGAAATCAATGTCATTTCAGTAAAAAATTATCTTTGCGTTGATATCGTGCTACTAGAGTGTCCAGATACATTTAAATCGATTTTCGTAAATTTGATCTTAATTCAGGCCAATCAGTTAGAATGCCTACAACCTGTCCCACTGGAGTAACGTCTCAACGTCGTTTGACAGACTACCCTATTGAAGGAATATTTCCCAAAACCGTAAATGAAATATTAGTCAGGAAACGTAGGTGGTTACGATAATCTAAACACTCAAACTTGACAATGTTTACAGTCTGCAAGACAGCCCATTCATTAACCGTGCCCTGATGGTATTACTTTTTATGAGATTGATATTACTGCTGACATTTATACACCCTCCGTCAGAAGAACATATACCATTGATGTAAGATGTAGAAACGTTATAATTATGATACGTTGAAAAAAGGAAAACGTTGCTAAGGAGGAAGATGTTTTAGCATGAATTATTTTTCTAACAGCAAAACCGTTACGATAAGTTGCACTGGGATTGTTTGTGGAACGGGCGACGAAGGTAGTCGACTTGTAAGTTAGTTGTGTATCCGAGACATTATTGGGGGAAACCATCCACGATGTTTTTGCTTCTGCTGAAAACAATTTTCTTTCGCGTCACGTTTCAAACAAACTAGGCAGCACGCGGAAGAAAAATGTGTTCTGAGAGCTTTGCTTTGTATTCTTATCTTGTTTTTCGCCGTTTCCCTCAGGACCCTCTTGGAAGCGAACAACTTTGTTCGATGTCGATAATGTTCACTCCGGGCTGGAAAACTACAATAATTCCGTCGTTATGGCAATTGCAATAAAAATCCATCAATAGTGGTTAGGTTTTATCAAATCTTTATTTATCATGATTATGCCATTGTTTTATCGCAGACTCTACCACTTGATGAACTCTGATCACCTACCGGTTCACCATTTGAGACAATGAGTTGCGTGCCACTAAGAATGCAAGCGTATCTGTCATCGAAGTAATACCTGAGCGACGGGATCAGTTTACTTGGACGGCCATTTCCGGTCAGTTTGTTGAAGACACTTACCAGCCTCTGAATGGAATTCAACTGTGTTTTCAGTTTGGACAACTCATTCATCGGATCAACATAGCGGGGTAATTCCGGATCGGATTGACCCAGACTGAGGAGATTGTGTTGTGCTGGCGGGGCTAGATGTATCGGTGTTTGTACGGGTGGATAGATCGGTGAACTGGTACGTCGTGGTGATGGTGTCATTGAGTATTTCGTTGTGACCGAATCGCGTAAAGCAGACCGGGGGGCGGGACTACTGTAAGGACCAAATGACATATCACACACACAGGTGTATTTGTGTATTTGCATGGAAATACAAAAGAATTATAAGCACTTGAGTTACCGGCACAAGTCTGACATTACTTTGTCAGTAGACCATAACATAAAGAGATCTAGTGAGAACGTGGAATGTTCCAAACATTATTCGGACTCGTCATGCATATGATAAAAATCCACCAAGATCAGTTGCCATACAAAACGAATTAAAAACTATCGTTATCATTATTATCATATGAATATGTTAATTGGTGTTACCATTCGAAAAATGAGGCTGATTTTAGTAGTATTCATGCCGTATTCACTAGAAGTTCCAGAATAATGATTGAAAGAAATTCTTTTTGCTGCATCAATTGTTCTTTCACTGTTATTGACCAAAGCGTATAAGCTATGAATCGGTTGTTCTATTCTTGTTTTTCCGAAACGACTCAATCACGCTGCTTTCACAGTTTTAACCACATGACTCCAAGTGCTGTTAACTGATTTGATTAGGGCTTTGAAATGAACAAGACATGTTAATTTACGACTAGGGTACACATCTTCATAGTAGCTGCATAAGTGCAATTTGAAAACCGGTTTCATTTGTTACGTAGATTCGATTCGCTTCGGTATTGAATGAAACTATTTCAGGTGGCAATTTACATTCGTTTGTTCGGTAATGAACCGTGATAACTTCAGTTCCATAGGACAACTACAATTTCTGCGTTGACAAAAAGGGGTTCGCCGGAATTACGCCTAAGACTATTTTATAATACTGGATCCCAGCAAAGTTCGAAAACAGTAACCGATACTAACACGTCACCTTCCTCCAATAACGTGGTTTTTATCACTCCACGTTCACCAAGTAGCACCAAGGAAGCCAATTCTATAAAAAAGCATTGTTAGCCGACCCCAAGTCGGTCGACAGAAACAACACCACATACCCAGATAGATTTCTTTGCCGAAGATATCTTTCATGTTTTTATACCAATGCACGAGGTTACCTTAGCAAATTCTCCGAAATGGAACTTCGTTGGAAAACTAATCGATTTGATATTGTTGCCGTTACTGAAGCCTGGCTGACCACCGACATTTTCGACTTGGGATTGCCTCTATCTGGAATGTCGCTGCTCAGACGTGATCGTCCTACACGAGGAGGTGGAGTGCTGCTTTATCATTGAAACAATTTACAGTGTGAACGGATTGATATTCCCTACGCAGCCCCCGATTCGTTATGGTGTTCAGGAAGACTCTCCAAAAATGATAGATGTTTAATCGGTACCGACCTGCCGCATCTTCAGACTCATCCAACGAGATTTTGTTGCAAGCCATGAGGAATACGTTAGCACTAAAGTTCACCCACGCCCTCATAATGGGTGAATTTAACTGCCCCAATCTCATAAGATCGAGGACTTCCCGCCAACCATTCGAGAAAAAATTATCTCAGTTGATTGGATTGCACCCACTAAACAATCACGTAACAGAACCCACCAGATTTGAGGCAGGTCACGGATCATCAACAATGGATTTAGTGCTGAATAACGAGGAGCTGATGATGGAATATGTCAATGTTACGTCTCCACCAGGACGCAGTGATTATGCCGTATTGATGTTTGATTATATAGGCTACGCATCTACCTAATAAAACCGGAAGAGCGGTACTCGTGCCATCATAGAACACAAAAAGCTGGCAATAATTAATTAATTAATTGGCAATAATTAAGCAATGGGTCCTCCCAGAAGATGATCACGATCCTTTGGTGGCATAGAAGAGCTTCACTGATTATCTTACCGAAATTGTAACGGCTGCAACAAGTATAAAAACTTGTGCTAAATCTAAAACTCGTCATTCACTCATTTGCAGCCGAACAAAGAAATGGATACCGTATCCGTCATTGAATAACATGGCTTTTGACAGTGAGAAAGTTAGAGCAAAACTACTAACTTTGCGTAAGAATTCATTCCCAGGCGCAGACAACATGCATCCCCGGACTCTGATGTCGCTGGCCAATAACATTTCTGAAACTCTGGCTGTTCTTTACCAAAGGATGTTCAAAGAGGCAGTAATTCCGCAGTCACGGNTAGATCTGTTGATGGAATATCTGGAGAAGCATGACCTTTTGTCTCCAACTCAGCACGGATTTCGGCACATGCGTTCGTGCACCACAAACCTACTCCTTGAATGGGATGAGTGGACAAAATCCGTCGATGCAGGC